GCCCCCCCGGGAAGCAGAGGCAGCCCCCCGGGAAGCCGGAGCCCCCCGGGAAGCAGCCCCCCAGCCCTCCCAGCCAAACCTCGCAGCCCTGCTCGCTTCTCAGCAGCTCCCCGAGCGCTCTCCGGAGGTACCAGCCGCGTTGCCACAGGCGCTGCGCCCCGGGCTCTGCCCCATTCACTCGGCTCATTAACGCTTCCCACTCATCCCTTCAGGAGAGCGGGGGCAGCTGCATCCGTTTGCTGACCGGTCACCTGCAGAAAGGCCACGGGAAGCAGCCCCTCCAGGAGCCCTTGCATCCTCACCGGTTCTTCCGAGCACTCAGGTGCTGAAGGAAGGGAAGGAGTGTCCCTCCCTCACCTCAGGGGTTTTCTCCCTGCTCTCCCAGGCGGGTTAAACCCCCCGGTGTGACAGCTCCCTGGCCCTGGGCTGCTGCAGGGAGCAGCACGGTCGGGCAGGGCAGAACCTGTGTCCCAACAAAGGCTAAGGAAGTCAAGGGCTGGCAGGAAACATTTCATAACTGCCTCCTCGCTTTTCATCTGTTTAATGATGGACAAACCTCTGTGAAATAAAGAAATCCTGGGGGCTTCACCAGGCACGCTGGCAGGAGGTGCCACAGCAACGGTGACAGCCCAGGAGCCTGGGGCTGCAGGGTCACTGCACAGACACGGGCACGGGGCACAGGGCAGGTCCTGCTTTAGCCAGACTGGCCTTCCCTGGGGTCTGAGCAGCAGAACGTTGCTCCCAGGTTCCCACTGAACGTGCAGTGTGGCTTCACTTTCGTCACAAGCTGTTAATGATCTCTAGAAAGTTACCGAGCAGCCTCTGACTTACTTTGGGGCAGGGTTAATTTGGAGATTTGATGGAATTTTAAATTAATTTACAAGGATGGCATGGCTCAACTACATTTGTTTTCTATTTTTGCCTCATCCTCATCAGCCCCAGCTTTGCCAGCCATTCCTCTCCTCACAGCCCCGCGTCAGGAAGAGTTCAAGTTCTCTGTGCACAGGGAGGGAGAAAAATCTTCTGGCCATAGAGCACCTTTCCCATAACAAGAGGATCACCACAGCTCGCTGCAGCCCTGCCCTGCTTTTGGGATCCTGAGCACAGACTTCCCAACAATCATGCTCTCCTCTGACAGCAGAATAAACTGTCCCTTTTCGACAGGGTACCAGGCTGTGCCCTTGTCCCACACGGCAGAGAGAGACATGGATTCAGCCTCCACATAAGTCATGAGGATTTATGTTTACCACAGTTTGATAAGAAAGGAAAGGGCGTAAGTGAGGAGCGAGAAAATAGTGGCAAGAAATGCAGGAGTCCTTCACAAAAAGCAGCAAGAAGCCCAGGATGCTGCCACAAGGGAGACAGAGTGAGCAACCTGCTGCAGCCCGGAAGGCACTGCCAGTCACAGGCTGTACCTTTTCCCTTTAGAGCACTGAAGGAAGTTTTGGGACAAAGTAAAAAATTGCGAATGGCTGTTTTCCATGAGCACGGGGCTCCAGCACAGCAAGGTCTTGGTAAAACCTCCTTACAGGTTCCCCCCAGGTGAGACGCCCGGAGCGGGCGGTGCTGGCAGGAGCACCACCCGCCCTCTTTCTTCCTTCCCTGCCCTCTCCCAGCTTCTCTCCCAGCAGCTCCCCACACCCAGCCCCCCCCGGGCTCTGTGCCTGTTCCCTGTCCTCAGATGCCACCCACACCACCCGTGAGGAACCTGCCCTGGGGCTGCTCCCGCGCTGCCTCCTGCCCTGCCCGGGCTCGGCCCCCGACGGGCGGCAGGGCGACCTACCAGCAGCGGTGCCCAGCAGGCTGACAGGACACACATGATCCCCAGGAGCTGGATCAGGGTCTCCGTGGTGATGCGGCCCCACTGCTTGCTGGAGCGAGAGGCGGTGGCTTTGCTCCGGCAGCGGGACACCAGCGCCTCGATGGTGGCCAAGTTGCAGGTCCCCGTCACC